GGCCTCTGTTTACGGAGCTGCCTCCGGGGCCTGGTGAGAGGCAGCTGTTTGCGGGGCAGTTCCCTTTGCGGTCAGGCGTCTTATTAGCAGGGCTCTATTGTTCCGCTGCGTGGAGTCTGAAGAGAGGAGGAGGAGGGTGACTCCAGGAAAGCTGCCACCTTAACTGCAAGCCCAGTCCCGCCCTGCAGAGCCTGTGGCTGGGGGAGGGAGGGTTGGAGACAGGGAGGTGCCTGCTACTTGGGCTCTAACGTCTCTGAAAAGTTGGGATTGCTTTGGCCACATCAGAGGCGACAGATGTCGCAGGATGCCCCGTGCAGTGCCTGGGCCTTCTTCGTTCCACTTTTTTTTGTTGAGTCAGACTCTCACTCTGTTGCCCAGGCTAGAGTGCAGTGGTATGATCACACTCACTCTCCTGGGCTCAGGCGATCCCCCTGCCTCAGTTTCCCGAATAGCTGGGACTACAGGCTAATTTTTGATTTTTTTTTTTTTTTTGTAGAGGCAGAAGCTCGCGATGTTGCTCAGACTCCTGGGCTCAAGTGACCCTCCTGCTTCAACCTCCCAAAGGGCTGGTATTACAGGAGTGAACCACCACGCCCGGCCTTTTTTTCCACTATTAAACCTTTTAGGGGTAAAAGTCCTATTCCTTTCTCTCCTGCAGTGAAGAACAGAACAGTGTGCTGAATTAAGCCTGTGTGTTGGGGGAAGACCCATAGTAGCACTGCGTTCCTTAATGTTGTGCCATTATTTACACTTTCAATTAAAAATCCTGGAAAGAGAATAGCTATTTCTCCCCAAAACTCGTTATTTGGAATGAGACTGGTTTCAGCTAGTTTCTGCTACAGTGGGGCAAATTGTTTCTTTCTACATTTTACTACTGCTTGTTTACCTCTTGATAACATGTTTAGAGTTGGTTGTCTTAATTTGGAGACTGAAATATTTCTAGTCTGCCTAGGGGAAACTGCCCTGCCCCATGCCTCCCTGATCTATGGTTCGCCCGGAGTGACTGTAATCTGAAGGGCTCTACGGGCTGTCCTGCAGACACTGAGCGAATGTTTCCATCTGCCAGTGGGTGTAGAATTGGCTCTGCTCAGTACTGAAATGCAAGAAAATCTCCCATTCTCAGGTTAAATGCCTATTAAAAGATGTTTCATCTGGATGTGGTGGCTCATGCCTGTCGTCCTAGCCCTTGGGGAGGCCAAGGCCAGAGGATTGCCTGAGCCCCGGGGTTTGAGAGCAGCCTGGGCAACCTGGCGAGACCTTGTCTCTAATGTAAATCAAAAAATTAGCCGGGCGTGGTGGCATGCGCCTGTAGTTGCAGCTACTTGGAAGACTGAGGCGGAAGGATCACCTGAGCCCAGCAGGTCAGGGCTGCGGTGACTTTGAGCATGCCACTGCACTCCAGCCTGGGCAACAGTGAGACTCCAACTCAAAAAAAGGGACGTTCACTCATAAAGCATTCTTTCTCCAGGATTCTATGTGGAACTGTATTTTTAAAAACATTGACTCCAGGAATACCAAGACGGTCAAAAGGAGCATAAGTAGAGAGCCTGCTGCCCTGTAGACTGGAAGAGTGTTTGCAGGTCACTGAGAGAACTTACTAGAGGGAATTCTGGGCTCTGACCTCGAAAGTGTGACCTCAGATGCTGTCCCGGACCCTGTGCTGGTGCTGGGCTCTGCCAGAACCAGAAAGGCCCAGTCAGTCCCTGTCCCTGTGTTTTCCAAGGAGCAGGAACACATGAGAAAATGCAACCTCCTGGTAGCATAGGGTATACTTCCCCAGAAGGAGCCTGAGGGCATCTGCAGGCTCCTCCACCCCGAATCACCCCATCAGTCTGTGTGTACAACTTCTCAAGCCTCTGGTGCTATCCCCATGGCTCTCAAACTTTTTTTTTGTTTGTTTAAGTCAGGGTCTCTTTCTATCACCCAGGCTGGAGTGCAGTGACCATCAGGGCTCACCACCTTCTGGGTTGAGGCAATCCTCTCACCTCAGCCCCCCAAGTAACTGAGAACACAGGTGCATACCACCATGCCTGGCTAATTTTTTTCTTTTTTGTAGAGACAAGGTCTTACTGTGTTGCTGAGGCCTGTCTCAAACTCCTGGGCTCAAGAGATCCTCCTACCTCTGCCTCCCAAAGTAGTAGGATTACAGGTGTGAGCCACCATCCCTGGCTCCAAAATATTTTTTTAAGGAAATAATTAAAAATGGTGGTCACGACTGGTTTTCATAAAAGACTTTCATTTTTATTTTTTAAGGTTTTATTTTTTGGACTAAACTTTCTGTGCTAAGTATGGTGACCACTGCTCTATGCCCTGCAGGCCTTCCTGGTGCAGACTGGCCTTCTTGGCTCCCTGCGGGTGACTCTCCTTCCTAGGACAGATGTCTTGCTGCTGCTGACATTTGTCCTTCTCTGTGTATTTTCGCGCTGGCCCGCTGCCTGGAATACCTTCCCACCACCTCCACAGGGATCCCGCCACCTTTTCATCATTCAGGGTCCCACACTGGTCCCGGCACCCACCCAAGGACCACTTGGGTAGGCAAGAATATCAAGGATTTTGGTTTTTACCCTTTCTTGGCCCTCCTGTCCCTTAAAGACTTTTTTGGAGGTGGTACTGGCTTGTACTGGCTTAGAGTTTGACTTAAATTTTTGATTCACTTGAATATGGAAAAAAGAACTTGCTAAAAAAATGATAAAAGGAAGTTTTCAAGGAGGGTAGATAGCTTTCTAGGGGACAAGAAAGAGTTTTCCATCGTGTGAAGTCATTGTTACTGGTAGATCCTACAACCGTCTGGGAGGGCAGGCTTAAGATCAGTGGCTGTAGGATGTTTAGAACCCGGACAGTTGAAGGCATTAAATTCGTATTTTAGCTGAATTGGTGATCTGCCGCAGTCAGTCTTGCAGGTGGGGGTGAGTCCTGAGGGTGGGGCGTCTCTGTGTAGCTATGAACAGTTCTGCCTCTGGGGGGCGGTCTGCCATGTCTGTGGGCTCTTTGCACCTTTCCCAAGCATTGAGAAAGGATGACATAGCTCATGAGCTGCCAGCGGGTGAGCTCAGCACAGTCTCTGTGTCGGTGTGGCTTGCTAGAGGGCAGTCACCGAGCTGTGCGGCACCTCCTAACGCCATGCCCCTCTCCTTCCCCACAGTGCCCATCTACGTGCCGTTCCTCATCGTGGGCTCTGTGTTTGTCGCCTTTATCATCCTGGGCTCCCTGGTGGCGGCCTGTTGCTGCAGATGCCTCCGGCCGAAGCAGGAACCGCAGCAGAGCCGAGCCCCGGGAGGCAGCCGCCTGATGGAGACCATCCCCATGATCCCCAGTGCCAGCACGTCGCGGGGCTCTTCCTCCCGCCAGTCCAGCACGGCCGCCAGCTCCAGCTCCAGCGCCAACTCGGGGGCCCGGGCGCCCCCCACGAGGTCCCAGACCAACTGCTGCTTGCCCGAGGGCACCCTGAACAACGTGTATGTCAACATGCCGACGAACTTCTCCGTGCTGAACTGCCAGCAGGCCACCCAGATCGTGCCACACCAAGGGCAGTATCTGCACCCCCCGTACGTGGGGTACACGGTGCAGCACGACTCTGTGCCCATGACACCCGTGCCCCCTTTCATGGATGGCCTGCAGCCCAGCTACCGGCAGATCCAGTCCCCTTTCCCCCACACCAGCAGTGAGCAGAAGATGTACCCCGCGGTGACCGTGTAACTGGGAGTCACCGGTGGGTTCCTGGACCGCACGAGACGAATGCAGGGATGGATTCTCACGGTGGATGTGCGTGTGTTGGCGACGTTCATGGTGTGATTCTTGTGGATGGCTTCACCGGCCCCCAGACTGGATGAAAACGTCTCCGGTTGAGCGTTTCTGGCTGTTCCATCTCCGGGTGTCACTGACATAGGATGGGAAGCCGACCTCTGCTTGGACGCCTGTGAAGTGGCTGATAGGTGTGTGATGGATGCTTGAGTCCTAAGTGCCCTCTGAGGTATGGTTGTCAGAAAAGTTTTATAAACTGGCAGATTAAGGGTTTTTATGATGTCGTGATTATTATTTCTTTGTTGTTTTGACTGTGCAAGATCAGCATACCTGTTATCTCCCTTTTACCTGGACCGTTTTGTATAAGCATCCACGGTTGAGAGGCAGACATAAGTAACATAATTATTTCTAAAAGGAAGTCAACTTGAACTCTGAGATTAGTCATCGAGCTCAGTTTCCACAGGCATATCTTAATTTCATTGTAAAAAGATATATATATTGTCTATTTTTGTGCTTTTCGGGGGGCCTATTTTGTGCTTTTTTACCTGTGTAGAGATCTTATTACAAAGTGATTTTCTACATTAAAAAGAAACGGAAAGAAATTGTATAGTTAATTAATGAAGATATTTCAGAACTCTGGGATTATTTTAATCTTGAAGTAGCGGGTGGTGTAGTAATAAAACCATTCATTCATCCCCTTCTTGATTGTATCTTAATTTTATGGCTTTACAGTGACATCTGAGAAGTAATTTGATGTTCTTTATGTTAGAAACCACAAACTGTCAGCTGCTGCTTCTCTGAGTTACTTTGATTTTGCCACATGGTGTACGGTTTGGCATTTTGTTCCATCTGGTTTTCAGATCCCCGTGTCTACGTAGTCCTGAGTGCGAGTAATTATTGCAGTTAAAAATGAAGAGCGATCTTTCTGCCTAGATCTGATCAATACAGTTTCTTGTTTGAGTTCTACAAATTCGAACAACTGTGTTACAAAGATACTTAGTGTAATTCCTCGGTCATAACTTGAGACGGGATGAAATTGAAACCACAGAGATGATTGACTTTGCAAATCATAAGGCTTTTTATTCTCTTATCAGAATGGCTTATTTTTCAGGCAACAGGGACTATTAAGTCGAAAGAAAAGCTTTTCTAAGAATATCGCCTCTCTCCCCCATCTCCCCCCTTGTTTGTTTTTCCTCTTTTCATCAAGCACTGTATTCATTGCCAAATGTTCTGAACGATCAAATTCAAATGTATTGTTTACTTATAAAAAAGAGGTAACTTTCAGTATGTGCAAGTGAGTTTCCAACTGCTAGCAAAACCAAGATTTTGTAATTAAACAAATCACTGTCTGACATGGTCTTTCATACAATTATGTCTGTGGATGTCACCGTCTTTCTAGTTCCTGACTGAGTAATGTAAAACCTTTCTTGGCAATTGGTATCAGCAAAGATAATCAAAATTTTTTAATAACCAAAGTCAGGGGAAAACCCTTTTACTTACTAATAAATATTTTATGATGTGGATTCCTAGGGGAGTTGGGTTGTTTCATTCTCGTTGTACTTGGTAATTTTTTCAGATGGTCTGGTAGACTTGTTAGTAGAATGCCATTGCTAAAAATCATAAATACTGCTTTCCAGAACCAAGAGTCCACTCTTAGAGGTAATATCTGGGAAGCTTAGAAGCGTGTTCATGAATCAACGAGTTCAGCTTACATATTCCGTGGGAAATGTTGACAACTCCAAAGAGACAGTTCTTTGGGGATCATTATATTGCCAAGCGAACAGGGATTCCCTGCATTGTCTCTGTCAGAGGATTCCTGCTTGCTTAAAAGTAAATTTCCTAGAACCTTGGAGTTGAAAGGGACCTCGGTCACCCAGCCTGGGGACTGGCAAACGTTTTTAGTGAAGAACCTGTGGACATTTTAGGTTTGCTGGCCCTATAGGCTCTCACAGCTACTCACCTCTGCAGTAGAGGCCCAGAAGCAGCCATGGAAGGTAAAACCCAAATGAGCAAGGCTGTGTTCCAGTGAAACCTGATGACAGGCCAGGCGTGGTGGCTCACGCCTGTCATCTCAGCATTTGGGAGGCTGAGGTGGGAGGATCACTTGAGCCCTGGAGTTTAAGACCAGTCTGGGCAACATAATGAGATCTCATCTCTACAAAAAAAAAGTAATTAGCTGGTGCGGTGGTGTGTGCCTGTAGTCCCAGCTACATGGGAAGCTGAGTTGGAAGGTTCACCTGAGCTCAGGAGGTCGAAGCTGCGGTGAGCCATGATTCTGCCGTTGTACTCCAGCTTGGGGGATAGAGTAAGACCCCAAACTCAAAAAACAAAACAGAAACCTGATTATAGACACAGAAATCTGAATTTCATATAATTTTCTCATGTCAAGAAATACTTTTCTGGTGTCGCTTCCCCCACCATTTAAAAATGTAAAACCCATTCTAGAATAAATGTTTGAGACCTGTTGCACAGCATGTGACTATAGTTAATAATAATGTACTGTGTATTTCAAAATTGCTAAGAGAATAAATTTCAAATGCTCTCACCATAGAAAATAGTAAGTATGTGATGACTATGTTAATTAGCTTGATTTAGTTATTCCACATTGTATGCATATATCAGAATATCACTTTGTACCCCATAAATGTAGTGCAATTATAATTTGTCAATTAAAAACAAAAATAACCCCACCTCTCCCCCCAAAAAACAACAAAAAAAACAACCATCAACTAAGTTTCAGGACTGTACGCACGCAGACACTGAGTCGGATTTGGCCGGCGGGCTATAATGTGTCAGTCTGCAATCGATGCAGGGGTCACCTCTGCGACATTCTTGGCAGCCTTTTTAAACACAGAAGGATGGAGAATGCTTGTGTTACACGAGATTGTCGAATTTTCCCTCTTTTTCTATGTGGTCATCAAATACTATGATTAAAGCAAAAACACCCTTTAATAAATGATGAGAGTTCTTCATTTAGTGAATGCTACTTGGTCTTTCCAAAAACATAACATCATTAGAAGCAACCTCAGACCTTTTCGGTTTCGGTAAGGGCTGGGGGAATTAAGCTGGCTACTCAGAAATGTTCTAGGACCTGGTTTAAGGACGTCTTCCTTGCTGTCATGGACATAAAAATGATATGCTGTGAAATGTAATTTGCATCTAGTAGAAAGAAACTCAAGTCTGTGAAGAAAAGAACGTCAACACAGAAACAATTTCATTTTCTGCTGCATCTAAACCTCCAGGGTCAGTTCATGATGGTTCCAGAGAATTCTGTATCCCTGCTTGTGGGAGAAAGTCAGACCCTTTGCAAGGAAGAAGACATTAGCCTATGGAGGAGTGTGGAAACCACGTCTCTGTCATTTCCATTGCCACTGGAGAAGTGAACGGTTAACAAGAGTAGCAGCAACCACAGTGCCAAGAAGACCATTTAGACAACTATTTTGGTTTGGAAAACTTACTCTGCAGCACCCACCTTCACCTCGCCCTCCATTTCTGGTGAAATTCCCACAAGCTTGATGGATGAAATGGTTCCTCTATGGAATCTACCTGGAGCTCATTCTGTTAGGATCACACGGTTTGGCCAGGCTCGGTGACTCAGCCTGTAATCCCGCGCCTTTGGGAGGCTGAGGTGAGTGGATTGCCTGAGCCCGCGGGTTCGAGACCCGCCTGGGCAGCGAGACCTCATCTCTACAATAAATCAAAAAAAAAATTAGCCGGGCATGGTAGTGCGCGCCTGTAATTCCAGCTACTCGGAAGGCTGAGGCGGAAGGACCGCCAGAGCCCAGCAGGTCGAGGCTGCGGTGGTCGGGAGCGGCCACTGCACTCCAGTCTGGGCGACAGAGTGAGACTCCAACTCAAAAAATAAAAAAATCACACGGTTTTATTTCAGTATTTTCTCCTTGTTAGAAATGAGATTTAAGGTCAGGTGTTTTGCCTAGAGAAATCATGACCATCCTAAATGGATCACGCACAGGAGAGAAGAGAAAACATTTGAAGGTGCTGGGGGTTGAGATGGAAAGAATTTAGAAGGACATTCTTTTTCTTCAGTTCAACCCCTGCCCAGCAATGGCACGCTCAGTCCTTTTTCTGTCAGGGGCTTGTCTCTGTTTCCTGCAAATCCACAGGGGTCTTTTGCTGAGAGTGCCAGTCTCCCTACCACACATATCCTCAGCAAGTTGTTCAACTGGGTCAGCTGTTTGTGTGTGTGTGTGTGTGTGTGTGTGTGTGTGTGTGTGTGTGTATTACTCTGTTGCCCAGACTGGAGTGCAGGGGTGTGATCATAGCTCACTGCAGCCTCGAACACCTGGGCTCAAGCAATCCTTCCACCTCAGCCTCCCAAATTTCTGGGATTACAGGCTTGTACCACCATGCCCAGCTAATTTAAAAAAAAATTTTTTTTGAGTCAGAATCTCACTTTGTCACCCAGGCTGGGGTGCAGTGGCACGCTGCTCACAGCCACCACAGCTTTGACTTGCTGGGCTCAGGCAATCCTTCCATCTCAGCCTTCCAAGTAGCTGGAGACCACGCCCAGCTAATTTTTTGATTTATTGTAGAGACGAGGCCTCACCAAGTTTGAAATTTTTTGTTGAGATGGGGTCTTGCTATGTTGTCCAGGGTAGTCTCCAAGTCTTGGTTTCAAGCCATCTTCCCGCTTCAGCCTCCCTCCCAAAGCTCTGGGATTACAGGTGTGAGCCTCTGCGCCCCAGCCTAAATTAACAAATGGTACACTTGCTTTTAGTTGCTTTTAGTTTACACTTGGTTTTAGTCTCTCTGTCTCTCTTTCTGACTCTCTGTCTAGGCTGCCTAAATGCTTAAGTTTGTTCCTCTTTAGTGGCCTTCAGAATTGAGACTTCTCGTTCACTGAGGCTGGACTTCCTCCAGGCAGAATGGCGACGCTAAAATATGTTGTGTTTACTTTCTCAGTGTCCAGGGCAGACCTCTGCTCATGGTATGTGCCTGGGGGATTTGTGGGGATCTGGGACAGGGCTAACACTGGGCAGACAGAGAAATCACACTGAGGATTTCTGTCAACCTTGAGGATAGAAAACAAGCATTCCCAGGCACCTGCCTCCCCACTGGACTGAGTCCCTGCTAAGTAAATAATGCATCGGCTGTGATGGCTCAGTGAACTTTCTAGGATTGTAAAAAATGTGGTCACTTCCTCCTTTTGCTTATTTGTCTTGTCTCTTAAGAGAACAGTAAAAGCCTCTGAGGAAGCTGCATGATCGTGCAGTGGTGCTGACTGTGAGCAGGGGAAGCTTGGCCTGGAGTGGGTGGTGGCCCTGGCTTTAAGCACACCAGGAAGTGAACCAGCTCTAGGGACCTGTGGAAAAGGGACAGGACAGGGGCTGGGGTTAGGCCGGGCCACAAGGGAAAGCCCACCCTGTGCTCAACTTCAGAGCGTCTTTCCTGTTTAAAAGGGGCCGCCGAGATATTGCAGGGAGGAATCAAGCATGTGGTCAAGTGAGAGGGCGTTCCTCATGACTCAGTCTAACCCTTTTGCCTACCTGCTGGGATGGAGGAGCCTTGAGGACACTTCCTGCATCTCTCTCTGTCTCTGTCTCTGACTGTCTTTCTGTCTCTCGCTCTGTCTCTGTCTCTAACTCTGTCTTTCTCTATTTCTTTTTATCTCTCTCTCTCTGTTTCTCTCTCTGTCTCTGATACTGTCTCTGTCTCTGTCGTTCTGTTTCTCTCATTCTGTTTCTGTCTCTTTGTCTTTCTGTCTCTCTCTGTCTCTCTCTAACTCTCTGTCTTTCTCTGTTTCCCTCTATTTCTCTCTCTCTTTTTCTCTCTCTGTCTCTGTCTTTCTATCTCTGTCTTTCTGTCTCTGTGTCTCTGTCCCTCTTTGTGTCGGTCATAGCCAAAGATCAGCTATTTTCATGCAAACACCTACATAGAAAATTTCTTTGCCTTCTGAAATTTTTTTTCTTAATTGAAAATGTGAATGTTATTGTGATTCAAGTGACTTTCAGGGGTTAAGAGAAAGAATTAGAAATTATTAACTCTTTTCCTGAAAGTGACACACTACACCCAGTAAGCATGTCTCAGTGCATTGACTTGCATTTGTTTTCCTTTGCTCTTTGTTTTTCTGTACAGAATCATTTATCAGTGAAAAATGGAAAAGTAAAACACTCAGTTGCTCAGCTTCGAGCAGGGACGTGGCGTGAGGATCACTTGCTGTTCAGAGTTAAATCTCCCTGATGTCTTCAACATTTATACCCAGAATTGACAGACCTAGACTCAAATCAAGAGCAAAAAATGCAAAAATAATGCTTTTATATACTTAAAAATGAGAGATGAAAAAAAGGATAAAAAGTTTGTGATGGTGGCCCATCACGTTAGAGTGATTTGAGATGTAAAAACTTGCATCTTACTTTTAACCATTTTGAAGGTGTAGGTCTTTCCGTTTAGAAAAATCATAGGTTACATAAGACATTATTTACTCAGGAGACTTAACAGCTGGAGGAGACTGATTGCCATCTGTTACATGTATATAAAATTATCACATGTGTGTATACATATG